GTGACTGCAGTCCCCTGGGGTCTTGCCCCTCTGCCCAGAGATCGCCCGGCCTCTCCTTCAAAACCCGGCGCTTCCCTCCATGGGGGCACAGCCCACACCCCACTGCAGAGACCCTCTCCATCCTCCTAGGGAGACCCAGTGCTCCCGAGAGAAAACCACGTCTTCCACACCCTTTCCCGAGCATCTTCTCATAGCACAATGTTGAGACACAGAAGCTCAGCGGTCCCCAACCTTTGTGGCACCAGGGACAGGCACTCCTATGAGAATCTCATGCCTGATGATCTGAGGCGGAGCTGGGGCCATGACGCTGGCGCCGGACAGCGGCTGCCAATACAGACGAAGCTTCGCTCGCTCGCTTGCCTACTGCTCACCTCCTGCTGTGCGGCCCGGTTCCTAACAGGCTACGAACCAGTACCGGTCCACGGCCTGGGGTTTGGGGACCCCTGCAGTAGGTGTCACCCAGTAGTTTTAGTAAGCGTACGTGAATGAGTCCTCCTCTGCTCTTACTAGGAAGCAGGACTTCTCCCCAGCTCGCTTAAAATGCCACCTCTCTCCCTGCCCCCCAGACCCCAGCTTCACAGCCACCCTTTTCCAGCTGCTCACACTCACTGTTTCTTCGCCTCCCTCGTCCTCAGCTGGCTTCTGTCCCCACATGCGTGAACCGAGTTGTGTTTCCGTATCCCGACCCCTCCGTCCGTCTCTGTCATCACAGCTGGCAAGAGCGGCGCCGTGTCCCCTCATGGGACTCTGGTCTGGACTTCCTTCCCTCTGCCCCCCGCCCTCTGCCCAGCGTCTACACCATCCGTCTCGCCGTCTGCGCACCTTCTGATGAGTCTCCTCCGTTGAACCTGCAGCCCGCACCCCCCCCGGATCCACCTGGTACATCCCTTCCTCCCTACGACTCCGAGCCCGTCATCGAAACTGCATCCAGGTCCCTTCGGAAACGGACCGCCCTGGATCAGGTCGGCGACCGTGTCCCCAAGGGAAAAGGGATAACAGTGAGACGTGTTTATCGCACGCCGCGACCGTCCAGCCCCACCTGGTCTGGGCGAGGTGAAGGTGTCCATGAATCGGACCTCCCGTGAAGGGACCCGGCGGACAGCAGGGCGAAGTCCCCAAGACAAAGGCGGCACCAGAGACCACACACGGCGTGTGCTCAAGGAGCTGAGGGGACTCCGGGCAAGGAAGAAGGTGGTTAGGGAAGAACCGTCCACCCAGATGCGGGGGAAGAACCACGGGTGAGGACAAAGGAAGCGGAGGGACCGCCCTGCCACTGATGCGAGCTGGACATCTAAATGGGAACCCCCAGACCCGCCAGAGCTCCCAGCAATACGAAGTCTGAAAACAGGGCGATGACCTGGGTGAGAGAACAACCCACTTTCATCAAGGAGATGAGAGACGCCGGGATCCTAGTTCTCACGCCGTCTGTGCGCCACGGTCCAGTCTGGGCAGTCCGAAAAGCAGACGGATCTTGGAGCAGTATCAAGGCCTGAACTTGGAAGCGGTATCATGACCCCGATATGCCTGACCAGTAGGAACGTGCTCTAGGCTCCAGGTTACTTTATAGCCCTGACCCGGAACATGTCCAACTTCCCTTCCCCGTTTCAGAGAACTGTCTTCCCAGTTTGCCATTCTTGAGGGAGAAATGCAGTCCCCGCTGCCTCTGGGGGACTTGGAATCTCTGCCTGGTGTCCCACGCAGGGTGGCAGGATCTAGCTTTAGTGGAAAGATGTGTCCCCTGACATACTGTGTGGATAGTCAGATGACCACTGTGGTTACAGAGAAACAGGCCTGACGAGCTTTGGAACCAGTGGTGACCTAAAGGACAAAGTGAGACTGGCTTGGAAATTCTACACGAACTTCTCTTACGGGCAGACTCGCGTGGGTACAGAACGACGCAAGTTCAATGAGTCTCCACAACGCAAGAGATAAACTTTTGCAGCAACTGGAATGCCTATCGACGGGGCCTGGCTAAACAGATTCTAACAGATTCCCGCAGTTAAAGATTATATCAAAAAGGCATGAGAGTGTGCTTTATGTATTAATATGGAAAGAACTCCAAGATCAATCAAAACACCACAAACAACCAGGCAGAGAATATGTGATGAGCTCTGAGATCTTGTCTGTGAGCCCCAATCAAGAAGTACTTAATGCAAGAAACTAACCGTAGCGATCGCTCACGGGGCAGAGCGGTGGGGTGGAAGGTGGGCGAACGGGAGACAGAGCGGGAAGCAGTGTTTCCACTCCCTCCTTTTCATATTTCTTGATGTCTGAACCGTGTCAATGTATCACCTCTTGGAAAAGTTAAAAACGCCAAAACATTAAAAAATGAAGAAATCCACGAAAGAAGAAATAGCATAGTCAATGAAAATCCTATGCCTGTTCCACATTGAGTCATTAATTTAAACTGAGAAATGTTTCCATTCACATCCAATGATGGGGATGAATAATTACAATAAAGCTGGAGACCATAAAAACAGAAAAATCACTCTCCGGACTCTTGGATTCGTTTTCTACCGCTGAAAGAAATCACAAGCGTGCTATTTTGACAGCTCGTATTATAAGCACCAAACACTCGTCAGCAGTGCTTCAAAAATACTGGCAAATAAAGATGTTTTTGTTTGTGTTCCTCCCCACCCCGCCCCCACCCCGCCCCATGTTCGATACTGATGGATCGATTCCTATTAATCAGACAAATAAACTAATTTCTAGGTTGGAAGATGGCTTTTCCGAGGAGGCAGCTATAGGGGGTGGTGATGTTCCACGTAGGAAGAGCCTGATGGGAAAACTTGAGAAGTGGAGAGTCGCTGCCAGCACTCTGGAACGCTGGCTTTCTTTTTCCTTCTTGTAATGCATTCGGTAGCCAGGAAGAAATGACAATTTCTATTAAACGTCAGGCCCTCGCCCCGTAGATGAGAGAAGGCATTTTGCCAGGGAGAGTGCCGAGACGTGCAGGGTTCTGTCTGCTTTTGCTTGTGCAATCCTCCAGCCTTTGTGTGTGACATCCCAATCATCGAGATGGCAAAGGACTACTGACGCCACCACAATAGACTGGGGACGTTTTCCTTTGAATGACAACGCGTTCCTATGGGTCCTAGACAGTTATGGATTCTTTCATGATTCAGGGAAGTTCCTCAGACATTCTCCTGTCACTTATTACTGTCTCTTTGTAGCTTAGAGTCTCTTCACCTTAGTGGCCCAACCCAAGCTGGTATTTCCCGGCAAAGACCTCACAGCTCATCGCTGAGCAGCCCCGCCGATAACCCATGTGCCTCAAGGCCAAGAAGATGCTGAAAACCTGCAAGAAGAAATACACTCTCTTGTTCCCTTGTAGGGTCGCTGGTTAAAGGATGATGACCAGTGACAAAAATTCTGAGATGAAAGCAAGACCTCTGTCCACCTTTCACCCCAATAATCTGTAACGGAAGTGGAAGCACATCCAGGCAGAGCCTTAACTATCTCCTGCAGAAGTGAATGGAAGGGCTGTTCTCTGGGGAGCAGCCGGGCTCACTCTTGGCTCAGCCAGCTCAGGTAGGAAGCGGTGGGCAAAGCACAGGAGAAAGACATCGCTGCAGCTCAGAATGAACACCGAGTCTTATCGACTCTCCATCTATTTAATCCAAACCAAACCCTTGCCCATAGCACAAAGTTCAAGCCTCCCCATGCGTACACATACCGCACGCTGGAATGTCCTTCTGTGCCTCTCCACCAGGC